TGGTAAACATATAAGTAAATAGGTAATTGGGACCAGAGCTGTAGTATAATCTAGCACAGTACTGCACTGAAAGAGTATTTGAAATTAGAATTCAAATAATAAAGGAAATTATAAGAACATCATATATTTTTAAATACAGGAGACATATAATTGTGCTTCATTTAGTAAATATGCTCTTCATAATAGGTGAACATTAAGCCATAGAGGCCATAGAAATAGTGTTTTCTGCATCTACTTCTAGGTGAAATTTCAAGTTAATATTTAGCATTTACTAAACTGTTATAAAATATTGAAAGGTTTAATGATTTCTATCCCAAACAATTTATATAAAGAAAATGTATCAGTTGCTGTTCTTTCTTTCTCCAAGAAGAACATGTTGGCTCATATAAAAATAGTTTTAGTTTCTTACAACAAGACTCCTCAAATTTGACAGACACCTTTTTTGGATACTTTAATGTTTCTTATATGAGAGTTTAAATTTTCTATTTTTAATGTATACTGTATAATGTGGTTCATTTCAGAAGCTGTTTACAGGAGAAAGCCAGGAGGCAGTGAGGCATTTGCATGGCCTCTGGAAGAATCCTTGGACTGTAGCCAGTGCAATAACATTATATTTTAATAGTTTGGTTTCTTTTCTAAAACCAACTGGTTGCCACGAAATGTAACAACGATATAAACAGAATATATTGCAAAGAAATGGCCTTTATCTATCACCTTGCTCCTAAAGGTGGGATTTTTTTAAAAACCTGATTATTGGTGGGTCAGTTGCAATAACATTTCAGAAATCATTTCATTTTGTAGAAATGAAGATTTGAATTCCTTCAAATCATTGAAAGACATGTGTTGTGTAAACAGAAGATTCTGCTGCCTCTTACAAAATACTTTTTTGTGATCTTGAAATACCAAGGTCTTGAAATACTGCCACTGAAGCATAATTGGTCTGTGAACACAGGCAACACCTGCTGGCAAGTCATGGCCACTCTGATCTTAGCCATGACACGAGTCCAGGGCGACCTGACGCAGCGCCGTGCACGGGCACCCTTAGAGGCCCCAGGGCCATGCTGGGGTGGTGGGTCTGTCCGTTCGCCTTGTTTTGGGCTTAGACAGTTAGTTGCAGGGAGGATCTGATGTTGCAAACTTTGATGGAGTCACAGACTTTTAATAAATTTTTGTCTGTGCCTTCCAATAGAATGAGTACAGTGATGCCCTACCAGCAGGAGCAGGACACCCGGGAACTCCAGGCTTTGCCCCCACTGGCATCAGAAGGACTACAGGCTAACAGGGGGACAGTATAGACATGCTCCCCTTCTCCCCTCCCATGCCCATTACCTCTACCACCTGAGAAAGGGAGAAGGCTGACCTGTAGCCATAGTTTGTATTGGGTGCGTTCTGTTTCCCAGTATTATCACTCAGAAACTTAGGACTGTGCTCATGGTATGTATCTGCTGGTCACAGTTCTCTTTCATGGCTCAAATCAGACTTTTAGAAGATCTTAGGTTTCTTTGCTGGATTCTTTTAAACTGTTCATCATAGATGATTTTTCTCTTGGGTTCATGCAAAAGGACTGTGTGGACCAATCAGAGAGAAAATGTCCATCCTTGGTAAACATTTTAGAATGAGGCAAGTACAGGACTGCATAGAGAACAGCACCACCATTCTGCTGAAAACACAGAAAGGCTAATATCTAATACCCTTGAACTTGGATTTCTCCTGTGATGTCACGGGCTCCCCTTGAATTATGTCCAAGAACCCAGGGTCAGTGGTACAAAAAGCCTTTTGTGTCAGAGTGAGTTCCTGTTGAGTGTGGTTTGGCTCAGGCACAGAGTAGCTGAGAAAATATCACATCAGCGGGCACCCCGATGGAAGCAGAAGGAGCAGGAAGGTGACTGGGTTGTTCATGGACTCCGCTGACGTTTCACTCTGGGGCCTCTTTATAATGCTTCTCGACTTGGGAAATATTTCATAGTCGTTCATGACACAGTGGTTAGCACAGTGGAATGCTGACCCCCAGGGCTGTGCCAAGAGCCTGCAGCTGCTTGGGCTCAGTTCTGTAGGGAAGAGGGAGGAGGGCCCCATCCTTGCCCCAGGAGAGCTTGTACGGGGCCCAAAGTGCACAGGACAAAGCTGCCACGTGGCCACTCTCTTCCCTGGTAGCAGCATGTAAAGAATGGAAAGGGGGCTGTGTCTCCAGGTGACCAGCTCTGCGCCTTCCCACAGACACCATCAGGGGAGACAATATAATTTTATTTCCTGAAGATCCGCTAGAACCAGAACCATTGCCAACCATATGGAGTGACTACAAAATCTGAAACAGGGTTTACTGTTATTAATTTCTATCCTGCCTTGTTCCAGAAAAAAATTTAAATGGATAGAGATTAAAAGACTTTCTTAATAATAAACCTAAGGCAGTGCTGGAATTAACTTCTGTCCAGGGTGCAAGGCCACTAGGTGGAGCTTTGGGGGTGGGGAAGATCCAAGGAACATGGCTTGAGGGGTATCCAGTATCTCATCCTGTAGGTCCGGCTGGTTGGAGAGGGCATTGCAGGGTAGGTGATGAGCAGCCGAGTCTGTCTGTCTGCCCAGAAACGCTCTACAGCTCTTCTTAGTTACCATCAGACAATCTCAGGTTAGGGAGGGACCTTAAGGGGATGTAGTCCAGCCCTGCCTGTGATGCCCCTTTGTCTACAGGGTAGTTCAGGCCTTCAAGTGAGTTTGGGTTACACATTCTCTGTTTTTCTAGGCTTCCTCTGATCTTTCTGGAATGTGCTTACTCTGTTCTCTGGGCTGTAATCTTGGAAAAAGTCTGAATAGGTTTCTGTTGATCTTCAGCATATAAACACAGTGTGCAGAAATACTAGCTGAAGCCCGCTCACATCTACTCCTCTCTGGACACTCCTCTCTGTGGTGGTCCTGAGCTACAAGCCCAAGTAGAGAGGGTTGGAGCCATAAAGGGTTAATGGATGGTGCAGGCCACAGTGGCAGCTCCTGCCCAGGTCCCTTGGGATGAGGGGTAGGAGGCCATCCAAAAGGTCCCAGTGCAGCTGGAAGTGGAGCAACTGTGAGCTGGCTGGCATGCATTCCCTTGGTGCATGTGAGGGAGGCTGCAGCTGCGGCCTTACAAGGCCATAAGGAACCTGGAGTTGCCGGGCTAAGTGGGGGGGACTGGAACAACAATTCCTAAAGCAGAATATCCCAATGGGAAAAAAAATAGCCGTAGAGGAGCTAGGCCAACCCCTCCTGAAGTCATTAGCACACTATTTAAGGATCCCAAAGGATGCCAGCCATTAAACAAGCAGCAGTCGCCTGTGCCTCATGGAGCCCGGCTGGCCCTGCGCCCCAGTGGGGCAGCTGGGAGACTTCTAAGTGCCTGCCTCAGAGCTGGGCTGCCGACAGTGCTATCTCAGACGTCCACTGCTTGCTGGCATCCTGTCACCTCCCAGCTGTGGACCTTCGGACTTTCAGGGGTCTAGAGACTTGGCTGGGAAAGATGCTGAGCTGTCGGGCACTCCAGCTGGGCTTGTGTTGGCTGGAAGAGTCTGGTGCCCCCAGCTTCCAGGCCAACCGTCAGTGTCAATGCTCAGGGCCCTGCGCCCTTATCATCTAGTGCAATTATCAGACTTAGCATTTTTACTTTAACACCACCTGTCCGTCAGCTCTGTTTCCTACACACTGACCTTCTAATATCATATGTCTTAGGTTCTCAAGGACAGGGAGAGTGCCCTCACTGCCTTTGTCTTCCCTCAGGAGAATGCCACACATCTCTCTCTCTCTGTCATTTACTCAACATGCAAGCTGTTGTGTTGGGAGGGTGAGGAAGGGCAAAGGGACAGCAGTCTTGAGGAGCTCCCTATCTAGTGTGACAGATAGACAGCTTCTTCACCCTTGGCTTGTTCAGGAACTGTGCACCAAGGATCTGTCACATGACCAGGCACAGCTGGGCCTGAAACAGAATCTAAGATAGAAAGAGATCCTGTACTCAGAAGCCCAGACTTGGCTGGACAGTCAAGTACATGCACAAGTAAGTATATGCATTCTCTCTATAATGTTGTCAAGGAAAAGAACAGGGTGCCATGCTTGAGGGGACAGGGAACCGGCATGTAAGCCTAGAACTAGAGGATGAGAAGGGCCCAGCAGGAGTGAAGACTGTAAGGAAGGCATTCCGGGCAAAGGGAACAGTAGGTGCAGAGGTCCTAAGGAAGGAAAGAGCTCAAAGAAATAACGATGGTGCAGCATCATAGGTGCCAAACAGACATGAGCATCAGGTGACAGAGAATCTCAGAAGATGGAGCCAGCTCTTTTTTTTTTTGTCACTTAATCTTTATTCCAGTTTTATTGAGATATAATTGATAGCACTATGGAAATTTAAGGTATATAAGCTAATGACTTACATATGTTGTGAAATGATCACCATGTTAGGTTTGGTAAACATTCATCATCTCATACAGGTACCAAAAGAAAAACGAGAAAAAAAGTTCTTTCCTTGTGATGAAAACACTTAGGACTTCTTTAACAGCGTTCCTGCGTATCATCCAGCCGTGTTAGCTCTAGTGGTCATGCTGCACAGTACATCCCAATATTTCATGATCTTATACCTGGAAGTTTATACTTTTTGGCCACCTTCCCCTATTTAGTATGAAATACTATATCATCATATTTTATTAAAAATTATACACATGCACATGTGCACAAATATACACACAAAGGAAGGGGTATGTGTTACAGTAGCCTTTTTAATAGTGGCTGCCTCTAGGTGGGTGGGATTTTGTGAGTTTTACATGTTTTCCTTATGATCTTTTTTTAAATATATATATTTTTAAATATATTTTTTGGCTGTTTTTTTTCCTTCTAGGTGACAAAGTTTCTTAACACTTATCGAAGTCCCTTTACACAGTAGACACTTTATTTTAACCAGGGATTGTTCCTAATGTTCAGAGTCCAAGTCCCAAGGAATGTGGATGAATGCATTTGGCATGACTGGTTTTGCTTTTGTGTTTACCTAGACCAAGGATGCCCTTTTCACGATTCTCCACGACCTACGACCCCAGGATCATTTCAGTATCATTGGATTTTCCAACCGGATCAAAGTGTGGAAGGACTATTTGATATCAGTTACTCCCAACAACATCAGAGACGGCAAAGTCTACATCCACCACATGTCGCCCAACGGAGGTAAATAGGAACCCTGCTCTTTCCATTCACTTTGGCATGATAATGAGTGAGTAGCTAATTTTCTGCCAAGAGGTGTAGGTTTGAAAGCTGAAGCTGATCACAGGAAAGGAGATAACAGATGAGAGCTTTCCCAGAAGCTTGTGTTTCTCTGAACACCAAAACTGTAAATTCTCCTCTTCCAGGCCCCAAACTAAGGTGGTCAGGTAAGTTATGGGGGGAAATACCTGATAGGTTTTGGAGCCATTCCTGGTTTATCTCACGGATCCCAAACAATGAAGCAGTGTTTGTAAATTGTGTTTGAGTGGGGATGAAGGCCAAAGAGATGGATGATTCAGTGCTTTGAGGGCTTGAATATTAGCACCTTAGGAGGCTGAACCACGAGTCCTCTAGGCAGGGTGCTAACAGAGTGAGCAGAGTGTGAATCCCAGATGGCCTGCAAAATGCTAGGGATGGCAAGGGAATGGACTCTGAGTCTTTGTGCACTGGGCTTGGATATGATGACCGGGTAAGTGTGCAGAGGAAAGAAAAGGTCATAATGAATTCTAAGAAGGATAGAGATCAGAGGAGCGTGTTACCCAGCTGTGCTTGATGAAAGTCCCTTCATCTGCCGGAAAGTCAGCCATTGTTGCCAGCCTCGCTGTTGTTAGGTGTGTGAGGGATGCCCGGGTTAAATAGAGGTTTGATTCCAAGCCCTGCTGTGCCTTTGGTGTCTTGTATTAGGAAAGCTAAGTCCATTCTTCTGCTTGGGCTTTCCTTGGCTTGAAAATGGAGTGAAAGATGTGGCACCATTGCCAAGCTCTAGATTAAAGAGAAAACAAACACCTGCCTTTTAGACCATGCCCATACATCCAGAGGTGATATGACAATAGGCCAGGCATTCAGAAAGGCAAGCAAGCTAATGAGCCCAAAGAAATGTTAATGCTCTTTCAGCTGGAACTTTCCCTTACTTCAGATACATCTAAGAAAGAATTATCAGTGTGTTGGCACAGACATAGACATGTATGTTTTTCAGCCAGAAATTCTGGAGGATGTAAAGCAATGAGGGAAATTATGATTCACTCAAACACGGTACATTTTCCAAGCAGATAGAAATCACTCCAGGCAGGGAAAATAAGAGTGTGGTGATGGATATACAAATTTATAAATTTACTAAAAATTATTGTATACCTAAAGTGGGTGAAGCTTTCGGTATATAGATCTCATCTCCATGACAAAAAAACACTGGAGTCAGAAGAAGGAAACAAACAGAGGGGTGCAGTGAGCCCTCTGATTTCCCTTGGTAGCGGTAGAGCTACAGCAGAGGTGAACGAAGTTCTCAGCTGATTCAGAAAGCTCATGCCAGCTGGCCGTTTCAAACTTCACCCACCCAACCATCCATGTCTACATTTGCCAAGCAAATAGGCGTTCAGCACCTAACACACACACTGTCCCCTGACGGTAATCAGAGCTGCCGATGACAAGCACCTCTCAAGGATAAATGGCAGGGGCAGGAGGTGTAAGATTTGAAGCCCTCACGTTGTAGGGGTTCTAACAAGCAGAGGTGATCCTGAAGGGGCAGGAAGCAAGGCAAGGAGAGGATGTGAAAGTGATAAAGGGCTAGTTAGTTCTTCAGCCTGCCCCCCAGCTCCAGGCCACGTTTGAAGTCATCTGAGATTGCGTCCTGTTGCTCCCACCTGCTCATTCTGTGCCCTTTCTTTCCCTCTGTGACTGTTTCTCCCTCCAAATCCCTGCACCCAGCCCCTCCTGCCCTTTGCAAACTGTTCTCAGAAAAGGATGTAGAAACCGTGAATGCTAAGGTGTTGAAGACCTCTAAGCCAAGCTACCCTCAGATTCCTTCAGGGGGTTACCTATAGGGGGATCATTTTGTGCCATTGCTATTCAATCAGCAAACATTTGCCATGTTTCGAGACAGGCAGTGTGACCTGGAAACACCTCGTACATGCAGGTGACTGCTTTCCCCACACACATCCTCCAGCTAATGCTTGAACGGCTGCATGGGAAGCACAGCCAGGCAGGTGCCCGAGGTGAAGGAGGCAAGCATAGAGGCTTGAGCTGTCCTGCTTTGGTGTCCCACAGGCACAGACATCAACGGGGCCCTGCAGGAGGGCATCAGGCTGCTCACTAGCTACGTGGCCCACAACGACATTGAAGACCGCAGCGTGTCCCTCCTTGTCTTCTTGACGGATGGGAAACCCACTGCCGGGGAGGTCAACACCGTCAAGATTCTCAGTAACACCAGGGAGGCCGCCCGAGGCCAAGTCTGCATCTTCACCATCGGCATTGGCAACGACGTGAACTTTAAGCTGCTGGAGAAGCTGTCGCTGGAGAACTGTGGCCTCACGCGGCGTGTTCAGGAGGAGGACGACGCGGGCTCACAGCTCATCGGGTCCGTTCGTCCGTCTTCTTGCTGCTCCTTAAACTTGAGTCTGCTGGACATGATCATAATATGCTATACGGGTAGTTGTCATAATGGGCTTGAACCAGGCAGATGCTCTGTGACTTGAGGCAAGATTTAAGATGGTCTGTGCCTCGATTTTCTCATCTATAAAATGAGGATGATCATCGGTTGACCAGATTTAATGAGCAACCCTGTGTAAACCATTGGTCAATGGCCATCTCACGTTAGGTGTCCTTTGGCCCTTATGGCTGTGATTGCCTTCTGGACATTTCAAGGCACTTTCTAGTATATTTACTCCAGTTCCACCCTGCGAAGGTGGGTCAGAAGAGCAGCACTATCTCGACTTTCACACTAGTTAAATGACTCTATTTTTATCTTGAAGCCAAATGACTGGTTGAAACTGGCCACTGATTATATTGTTTTTCTGAGGTGGAGAAGAAATTAGAACTTAGGTGTTCTAACTCAGTTTAGTGCCTTCTCAATTATCATGTTGCCAAACACGGGGTATGACTTTGCTGTCGATTTGAGGAAGTGCTGACTATGCTTTAATCTATTTTATGACATATATAATACATATTTACAAGGAAAAGTGAGATTTGGGTAGATTTACAGGTATTTAATAGCCATAATCAAAGAACACTCATTTACAATAAATCTAATTGAAGGTCTCTAAGGCTGGCAATAAAGATTCAGTTTTTGATGTCAGGCTAGATACCATTTCCCCCAGCATTTTGGTCAAAGACTTAAATAACACTTTTTTGCTTCCTGCGTTTTCAAAATTATTCAATACTACACTCAAAGGGATAATCTAAAGCATTGTATAACGGAATTGAGACTTATTAATGTGTTCATAAGCAAAGGCAATTACATTGAAACAAGTCAACTGTACTGTCATACTACTAAAAATATCAATACCTAACATTTATCAAGACCTTGTAATGTGTAGAGCCAGGCCTGTCTACATCTGTTGTCTTGTGTCACCCTCCCAGAAATCCTGGAAGTAGGTGTATGATGGTGAGAGCTAAGCTGCAAATGGAAGACTCCCTCCTCCTATAGTCTGACAGGCTGGGTTCTGCTCCACAGAGTCATCTGGAGACTCAAGTTCCTTCCATTTTATCACTTTGCACCCCATAGCTGTCCTCCTTAACTGCAAGGGTGGAATTAAGCCACTGTCACATCTGTGTTCCAGCCCCAAACAGGGGGAAGAAAAGACAGCCAGGGCCTGCCACTTTACCTCAAGCAAGCATTGCAGAAGTCACACACATATCACTTCTAGTTACATTCTGTTGGTGAGAACTTGGTATATTTGGCCACAGTGGAGGCCAAGAAATGTGGTTTGTAGCTGGATGGGCATGACTGGGTTGAAACTCAGTTATTATGAAAGAAGGGGAGGATGGGTTTGGGGGAACAGCAAATAACCTACCAAAGGGGTTACTACAAGCATTCTAGGTTTTTAGATGAAGAAACTGAAGTTCAGAGAGATTAAGTCACATGTCTCAAGACACACAGCAATGAAGTGGCTGAGATGGAAGTCTAATCCAACAGCTTATGCTCTCCAGATCCTGAGAAGGGCGATTTTGATGGTCTCCTTATTCAGCAAGAAGCAACCATGTAACATACCTCAGAGAAACTCTAAACCTATCAAATGCTGCATTATACAGAAGCTTAGTGGTAAAGTCAAGGACAGACTTCTCAAGTATAATGGGCTGGTTAGAGTGCATCTGGAATATGTGTGTCTGGCTTTAAGAAAGATGTTTTAAGAGGTCCGTTGAGAGACTTACAAAGGAAAGCTACCAAGAGTGGCTAGGGATTCTTGACCTGGAGTCCCGAGGAACAGTTCTGAACCTAAGCTCCTCTATGAGGCGGTTCCTCCTCCTCATCTGAGCAGCTGGACAGGTGGGAGTCTGTGAGTTAGTGTGCTCTGTCACCCGTGTTCTGGCCACTGCCGCCTGGCCTCCCATCAGAACTGGTCTGCTGGTGCAGTACTGGACTTGATGGTGTCTAAGAACAGAGCCACCCCTCTGACAGTCCATCATTTCCGTAGGACCTGCCTGCCTGAGCCAGGCAGGGCCCTGATGCTCTCCCTCTTCTGTTCCAGGTTCTACGACGAGATCAGGACCCCTCTGCTCTCTGACATCCGCATCGAATACCCCCCCGGCGTTGTGGAGCATGCCACCAGAACCTTGTTCCCCAACTACTTCAATGGCTCTGAGATCGTCATTGCTGGGAAGCTGGCGGACAAGAAGACGGATCAACTGCACGTGGAAGTTACAGCCAGCAATGGTAAGAAATTTGTCATACTGAAGACAGACGTGCTCATGGAGCCCCAGAAGATGGGGAGTGGTGTCCCAGGAAGCCCCAGGCCCACGGGTGATGGCCCCGGGGACCGCAACCACCTGGAGCGTCTCTGGAGCTACCTGACCATGAAGGAGCTGCTTAGTTCCTGGCTGCAGAGTGACGACGAGCTGGTGAAGGAGCAGCTGAGGCAGAAGGCGCAGGCTCTGGCGCTGAGCTCCCGCTTCCTCACCCCGTTCACCTCCATGAAGCTGAGGAGACCGGCACTGCGCACGGAGCTGCCAGAGGACTCCTACCACATGTCCGCAGTCACTGGGCCCGAAACGGTGGTCCAGGGCCTGCGAGGCACCAGCCTGCAGCCAGGTAATGGGAGTCCCCACCCCGTGTGTCATTCTAACTGCTTCTCAGGCCAAGGGCACCCCGGCAGTCATCTGTTTTATTTTATTGTGTTGTCTTTTTTATAAACAATAGCCCTACATGCAGCTCCTAGTCTTCAGAGGGTGTGTTAGATTCTGGTGTGTGTATTGTTATAAACTGTGGCCCTCTGCTGGGAAATTCGAAAAGGTGGCATTCATCCCAGAAATGGTGCCCCATGAAGTCAATCTATCCACATATCACCTGGAGTGCCAGGCATTACTATAGGCACCAAGATGAGCAAACAAACAAACTCTCATTTTTAAGTGCCTTTATATTTTTAGGTACTTCAGGGCTACATCATTTTATGTGACACCTAATTTTTATTTTCCTGAGCACCTATGTAAGGAGCTGAGTTCTGGATTCTTGAGAAACTTTATCCTCACATGCTTACCACTCAGCCTCTAAACAGACACTGTCATCATCAGCCTCAGGGCCGCTTTGTTGGGGGAAATAAGTAGCAACAGGAAGGGGAAAGGGAAAGAAGTTCAACCAAAGCAGGGGGTTATGTTCTCAGTAATACCTGTTTGTGGAAAATAGCATGTTCTTTATGGGTAACATTTTTATTAAATTCCTGTCAAGTGCACATCTCCCAAGGAGAGGGACCTGATGTTGACCCAGGGCCCACATTTATTGCTCACACTCTGCACTCTGGAAGCACCTGGACATGGTGGAGAAGGCTGAGTTTCAGCCCACCTCCTGCCTGACTATGTGGCTCAGGGCAGGTTTCTGAACCTCTCTGAGCTTCTATTCCCTCACCTGTAAAATGAAAATAATAATAACTTCTGGGAAAAGCCACTGTTAAGATTAAATATGTAAAGTCCTTGAGTGCTCCACAAATGTTAGATGCCATCTCCCACCAGGAGTATAGAGCCAAAAATTTATTGAAAAGCCCAGTCCCTAACATAGAGGTTAAAAGCGGCCTTTTTATAGAGTGGTGATTATCTTGGCAAAGTGGGGGGCAGTGTTAGTTCCAGTGCAAAGCAAGCTGCACAACCCCATTACTTCACACAAAATGATCTGTGCCCTTGCAGGCAGAAATGGCTTTTTGAATAATATCTTCATTGCATGTCAGCAACTCCCCTCTCGGTAGCTTCAGGAGAGCTCAGCTCAGACTCAGAAGCTACAAGACTCAGGCCAAGAACAGGGGGAACAACCAGCTGATTGTTCACAAGAGTTGTTGGAAATAGGTTTTTCCTGAGCTGTCGGTTATTGTTCAAAACAATCTTCCTCTTAAAGCTCTGATCATTTTCAGGTTTCAAGCTTAGTTTTCTGGAATGTCTGGGAGCTACCACCCAGGGGTCTCCTGAACACAGTCAGGGAAACTGAGAAGTCCCTCCTCCTGCATGGCCCGCTGGTTCTTCTGGGCCCTGCTGCCCAGGGGGAAGGGGACGGTACTTGAAAAATGCTGAGCTGCCTTGATCTTTAATTTCTGTGAGGGGCCCAAGTCAGTGAAGAGCAGCATAATCTTGCTAATGCAAACCATATGAAATAAGACACTCATTTTCTTTTATTTATGGAAATTAATTGGCTTTTAGGTTATTTTTTAAGTGAATATTTTTGCCTGCTGCTCTCTGAATTGCACTCACATACATAGCCACATTTTATATTTTTTGTTATTGTATCTTTTTTTTTTTACATTTTTGTACTTTTTAAAAATTGTGGTAAAAAAAACCACACATGGCATAAAACTGACCATTTAGCCATTTTCACTGTGTACAGTTCAGTAGAGTCAAGTACATTCACACTGTTCTCCAGGACTTCCTCATCTCGCCACCTGTAATTCTGTGTCCTTCAAACAACCCTGCTTCCCTCCCCCATAACTATACTTTCCCATGTAATAGACTGTTTCCCCTAATGTAGACACAGAAATCACAACAAGAAGATTATCTCATTTATAGAAGAAGAAAATAATTATGCCTCTACATGTTACACCTTTTCTTGTGTGTGAGGCCCGGCTCTTTCTTTAAAGCAGGTGATGTTTTTTAATTGCCACAAATGGATCTGAAAGCTGTTTTGTCCTCTTCTCAACCCTCTTCCCCCTGTACCTCTTACTTCATCTTCTGTAATGAATAACATGCTTGTTCTCTTTCTTCTTTCCAGGACTTGCTCTCAAGAAACCACATAACCCAAGAATTAAAGTCTCCAAAACATCAGGTAAAGAAAAGAATGTGGTTTTGTGTGTTTTGAGAGTTTAGATGTGCAGAAGTGGATGACCAGACTTCCCTGAAGCCCGTTCAATCTCAGCTCATAGAACAAGACGTGAGGACCTGTATTTATTTAGTGCAAGCCAGCAGCATGAGGCAGTCATAGGAACCAGGGTCAGCATTAAGCCGTCACATAAACACTGTGGATGACACAGTCCTGAAGGGCCTGCAAGAGCCCTGCAGGAAGGAGAGATGGATAGCAGAAGCCCATTTTCACCATTAGTGGGTTTAAAGGATATTTGTTTTTGAGATCTAAAGTGTATATGCTTCCAGCTTCTGGTATTACAAGTATCTGTGACGTGCAGGGTTTTTGGCTTTAGAAGGGAAGAACAGATTTAAAAATACTGTAACATTTCCTTTGGCTAACATCCTGGGATTTTAATAAAAACTAGATGGAATAACAGCACAGGGCTGGGTTTTATTCCTAAAATGTACACATCTTCCTTGGTGAGCCTTTGCTGTTGCCCAGCTTTCTATGTGCTGGACGTGCGAGTCCATAATGGTGGGGACATCCTAGAGATTGTCTGAAGGGACAGGAAACGCACCATCTCCAATAGACATAATGCTGTTCGTTTGAACACACACGCTTTCTGGAATGCAGGAAAATGTTCCTCTTGGATGCTGCATGGAGTAATGACTTTCAGACATCTCTCTTTTTTGGAGCAAGCTACATCTTTTCTTATAAAGGGATTTGGAAGGTTTTTGAGTAGAAATGATGTGATGTGAGCACAGGAAACTCTTGGAACTGTCACATAGTTATACCAGGACTATTATCTCCTATGGGTGTCATTCTTTTCATCTTCAAAAGACACTGTATTTCTTTATAAGTCGACATTTACAGGATGCTTGAGGCTCTTTACAGTGAGATCAGATTCTTTCAAGGACCCTTGTGAGTCATGCTGGGGACAGGAAGGGTTTTTCAGCCACTATACCAAGGATATTAATTAGTTTGCAGCTTGAAAAGACTGAACTCCTAGCCCACACCCACTACCATATACAGTGGGTATAATACATGTACACATAAAGTGGAGGGGTGTTCAGAAACCTGTTGTGTTGGTGTATAAATTAGATGGAAACCAACTTTCCTGTCTCATGAGAGAAGAGAAGTGATGTTGACTCTCAGGAAATATTTTGTCTGTCCAGTAAGAAACAAGAGAAGTGGAAAGGGCAGGAACAGGGGCCAGCCAAATGTGGTCGTAGCTGGGGACAAAAGTTGGGCAGCAGTTAAAGTTCGTATGACCCAGAGGAGGTATTTCCCCTGTCACCGCTGATGCTCCCGTCTAACCTGCTGTTGACTCTGTGTCTTTGCTCATCCTCAGCCCTAATTGGACCTGGTCATTACCACCATCACGTGAGGGTTGTGCACCTCTGGCTCTGTGAGTGTCTGACGGGCCATGGCACTCTGGCCACAGGAGAGGAAGGATTCACATCCGCCTCTCTCCACCTGGCTGGTCACAGGAGAGAGGAAATTCTCTGGGGAAGCCACTCAGGAAATTGAGGGTATAGGAGCTGTACGTCGACACACTCCTCTCTGTGCCCCATGTACCTCAGAGCACAGTCGGCCATGTTTGACTGAAGTGCGGTGCAAGGAGTATTACATTTGAATCAAGGCAACCTGAGATCAAATACTGACTGTACCATGTACTAGCTGCCTAACTAGTGCGTCACATCATTCCACTGCCCCCTCATCTTCCTGATTGAGACACTGAGGATCGCTTTAGGGTTGCATAAATAATGGCTGAGAAAATATCAGAGTGCCTACACATGGATGGCATCCAATAAATGTCCTTTGTTTCTTCCTCACTTGTGTGTTTTCCTGGCTTGGTAGCGGATGGAGATCCCCACTTCGTTGTGGATTTCCCCTTGAGCCAGCTCACAGTCTGCTTCAACATCGATGGACAGCCCGGGGACATCCTAAGGCTGGTCTCTGATCATGCAGACTCCGGTAAGTGTGGCCTCTGGGCAAGGGCAAGGGAGGTATCCTGTCTCCCTCTGGTCTTCAGATGCAGGTCCATGTACACAAAGGGCGTATTGTAGATGCTCAGAGAGTATTGTTGCTGATAAGTTAAAGGCGGTAGATCATGCTGGACTTGGCATTGGAAACCTGCTCTCTGATTAGAATTCCTTTTGTAGTCTTGGCAACACAATGTGAGCTCTCTTATAAGATGGAGCTAATGATGCTGGCTCTGCCAGGCTCACTCACTAGTGTAAAGACCAAATTAAATAATGGATATGAAGTGTTTTGGAAGTACACAAATGCTATGCAAATTCATGATACATGGTTACATCTTTCCATTCAGAAGATGTGATGGTAGGAAGGCTAGGGTCTAAACACATCTATCTCAGCTCCTCAATGGTTTAGACGTTAAGTCAGGATGTTGATTACTGCTCTGTGTGCAGTGAGCTCAGGTCTAAGGAAGGCTCTGATCCCCTCCAGCCTGTCAAGGGGAGGACAGAAAAGATTTGTGTATAAAAAGCTTTCTAGCTCCAGTCACGTAGCAATGCCTTGGGGTGGCCATATGGACAACTACACAGCTCACCTTGTGAGGACAAGCTTTGGGGAGGACCTTCTGGTATTTCTCAGTGCTGAGAAAATGAGTTCCATAAGGGCTAGGTCACAGAGGGCGCTGCAGCTGGGTGATGTGTATGGTGTCATCATGTGACGTTTGGTCCTGGGGTCTCTTCCTCACCTGTTCTCTTGCAGGGCTTCCTAGCCTCTGAGCTAAATGTCAGCTTGTTTCCAATTGAGAGGGCTCTGGAGTGAGATGGGGCCTAATGTCTCCCTCCCTGGGGGCACCCATCCTCCTAGGACCCGTTCCTGTGGTTTCTGGGCCAGTGCCGTGTCCGTGGTGGGAAAGTCAGCTGGAAGGTGCTTGGAGCCTTGTTGCTGCAGTAGCTAGTCTCTGCTCACGCTGGAATCTCTCTTTTCCCCCTGATGCCTCTCCTCACAAAGGCCGTCTTCTCCTGGAATGTCTAAGAGTCACTAGTCAAGATTTAAAGGAAGATTACCCCCAAAGCCGAGAAAACAGAAGTTAATTAAAGAGAAATCTTCTATTATTGCAAACTGCCTTTTTGCCTGAGAGCAAAACACACATAACATTCATTATCCCCTAATTCAGTCCCAAACGTCTCATGTAGAATTGCCATCTGTTTCCTATTCGGTGGAATAGCACGGGACCCTGGAAGCCTGGCTCTCAGGCCTTCCTCAGGTCTAGAAAGACTGCAGTTATATTAACGATAATGAGGGAATAAGAAAGGAATTCTATTTGATGGCAACTGACAGCTTATATGTGTGGCACCTCCTGTGACCTTCACAACAATTCCATAAGCTTTTATGCCTCCGTTTTACAGAGGTGGAAATTGAGGCTCAGTTCTTGTTGTCCCTGGCTCGGACTTTTCCAGGGATACACACCTAGAAAGTGGAAAAACTTTGGTTTTTAGACTAAAAAAAAGTCTAGTCTTTGTATTATCCCACACCACTCTGTGACTTCAGAGGATCTCCAAATCAGGATCAGGGGAACTAGTGGATAAGAGCGTGAGTCAGGGCCACATGGGGCCTTTTGTTACCATACCCAATACTGGAATGAAAGCAACCACGCACAAAACTCCCACCATGATACCTTGGCCCAGGCCTTGCCATCCTTCCCCTACCCCAGGAATTCGCCAAGCATGGGGAGAAACTTACCCATACCTACGCATCCATTACTTCACTCAGTCGCTTGTTCTGAGGCATGAACGGCCTCTGCGTGGGAGTCAATGCCAGAGCCCCCATGCAGGAGGGCGCCGAGATGCGAAGGTCCACCAGAGGAGGAGGGGATGCAGACTAGGTGCCCTTAGCGTGAAGGTGGAGATGCTTGTTCTAACCACTGTCCTCCTCCCCTCTGTCTTCGAGGTGTGACAGTGAACGGAGAGTTGATTGGGGCCCCTGCTCCCCCAAACGGCCACAAGAAACAGCGAACTTACTTCCGGACCATCACCATCCTCGTCAATCAGCCCGAGAGGTCTTACCTTGAGATCACACCAAACAGAGTCATCTTGGATGGCGGGGACAGGCTGGTCCTTCCCTGCAACCAGAGTGTGGTGGTGGGGAGCCGGGCACTGGAGGTGTCGGTGTCGGCCAATGCCAGTGTCACTGTCACCATCCAGGATACCATCGCCTTCGTCATCCTCATTCACCTCTACAAAAAGCCAGCCCCCTACCAGCGAAATCACCTGGGCTTCTACATCTCCAACAGCAACGGCCTTTCCGGCAACTGCCACGGCCTGCTAGGTAGGGGCTGCTCTTCTTCACGCTGGTCCAGGGGGTAGAGTTCAGTTTCCCAAAGGGGGCTGACATTGCCTGTATCTTAAGCTTGGCTCGGAAGTTCAGTAGGAATATGCTCTTTATGTGTCTCATGAAAATTACTATAATTTTGCCTCCTGATGACTTTCTAGAATAGGAATGGGCTTCATAAACTAATTTTCACTGCAAAGCAAGCAAAGAAATATGGAGAAATCCTCTCAAAGTCTGGTCTTTTACCCTCAGCAAGAGGATATGAGTCAGGGGCAGGCACAGCTGACACTAGCTCTGGCAGTGTTGCCCGTGCAGGCACCCACACTGTGTGTGTGAAGCAGGGTTCTTCAGTATGCCATTTTACCAAGGTCCCTTGCCCACTGGAAAGAGTGGGCTGCTACCAGGGCTGGGTGTAGAGGGCAAGATTTCCTGGCTCTTGAGCCGAACGCATTTCTGATGCACTGGACTGCCGAGCACCAGTTCCGTCCCATCAGCGCAGACCAGGATTCCTTTGGCCTTAGCAGGGACCTCACTTGACCTGGAGGCTTCTGACACGTGTGCATGTGTCTGGCCAAGCTGAGCTGACTGCTTTCTGTATCCTCTGTCCAGGACAAACCCCCTCCCTGCAGAGATCCAGGGGACCCAGGGAGGAGGAGGGGAGAGCTGACCCTCTTCCCTCTGTAGCAGTCCCCTCTTGCCCTCCCAACTCAGTAGGAGACTTCATCTCTACTGGCTGGTCATGCAGCTTTCTAGTGGGGGCCTGGGCAGCTTCCAGAAGCAGAGGCCACCAGGAACAGAAGGTCTGCTCTCCTCTCTGTCCCTTCCAGTCGCATGCTCTGTCACCCTGGAAATAGTGTGAGTGCAGACTTCATCCTCAGATGGCAGTTAAACATGCTCCTGTCACTGCCGTCCTTCATTGTCCCCTTCCTCTGGGGCACATGTAAATTTGCTGGTCACCAGTGGCCTAAAGCAAAGTTACATTTTTTTCTTCACAGTGTTGCCTGCACTTGACTTAGACCGGATGTTTTTTCTGTCCTCAGGTCAGTTCCTGAACCAGGATGCCAGACTCACAGAGGAACCCAGTGGGCTCAGCCAGAATATTACCGACCCTCCATTCCGTGAGGCAGGAGAAAGGCCGGAGGCAGTCCTAAAGGTGAAAGGGCACCGAGTCCCAGTGGTCTGGAAACAGAGGAAAATCTACAATGGGGAAGAGCAGGTGGACTGCTGGTTTGCCAGGAAGGCCGCCAGCCTGGTTGATGGGGAGTACAGAGACTACCTGGCCGCCCACCCTTTTGACTCAGACACCACATTTGGCCCTGGAATAGCCAGGGGACTTGGACACTAGCAGTCTTCCTGTAATAGTGCCTGAGTCAGAAATGGCCTTCAGGGACACCATAGTGCGGTGTTTTCTGCTTGCATGGGCCTTGTCACTTGGCAGCCACAAGCTGTGACTGACCCCTGGTGGCGTGTTGGTCTGACGGTGTCTTGCACAAAGGCTGGGGTCAGGAGGCTGCAGCGCAAACGTTACTTCCTCCTGCCTCCCCACCCCCAGCCCCCACCCACCTTCCATAGAAAAGGTGGTAGCTCCAAGGGTGGAGGCCATGGCTACAAGCAAGAAGTCTGTCTTGTGCCCCCTGGCTTGTGCATCTCATAGCCTAACGAGGGGTAACTTTGCTGAAGGGAGGTTTGTTTTCTCTGTGGAAATGGCCACGTTTGGGCACGCTGCTTTTCGCCTTGTGTGAATGCTTAGGCTTCTCTCTTCTTCGTTCTGCAGATATGTGGCCAACCTCAGGGGAGCCTCTCACTTGGCCCAGGCCACAAGTCATGCAAATAGCATATAGATCTGATCATTGTAAACAATTACCTCTTTTCTTAGGAGAGGATTTTCCTGTGTTATGATATCTTGCCCTAAAAAATTACTTTACATTTTTAAAGACTTGACTGAAAATAGAAAATCTACATCCCAGATACTGGTGCATTTCTAATGGGCTTTGTAAACCACTTGACTTTGCTGATGGATAATCTCCTATTTATTCTGGTAAGCTAAGTGCTTTGAATAAACATGGACAACCCCATGTGGATGTTTCCTACTGGCCTGTCTAGGGGCTGGAGAGTCGGCCAGTTGAATGAAGAATCTCTTAGTTGGCGCTTGTCAGCCTTTGTCATAATTTGGGCCTCCTTTGCTCGTGGTCCTCCAGGAGTGGTAATTAGGCTCTTGCAGTACTGGAATGGGAGGTGGAGCCAGTGCAGGGTGTGTCCACCAGCCGACCTACAGGCATCCACTTGTCCGTCCTCGGCAGGGAGTGCGGCCGTGCTCGCAAAATCAGGAAGGCCCTCAGCATCAATCAGGCAGAGCCAGGCAATCAGCATGAGTAAGGGGCTTCAGTTCCACAACTTGGACCCATCTGATCCCAGGGAAAAGTGAGAATCCATTGGGGGGATAGGGGGTGTCAAAAGTCAGTGCATGCCACCCTTCTCATGTGGGCGCCCCGCTGAGGCCTGAGCCCGTTCCCCAGGGCCCAAGGCTGATGGTGGCACCACTGCCCTCCTTTCTTGCCTCCTCACCAGTTCTCGGGTTTCCAGTTTGGTTTTCTCAGGACGACCAGGTTCAGAAGGCCTGAAGCTCACGAGTGAGGAGCGAGCTCAGGATAGCTGAATGCGGGGACCGCTTGAGCCCAACTGCAGAGGAAGATAGATTCATGCCAGAGAAAAGAATATTTTGATGTGAGACCGAATTAAAAGCTTTTGTGCTGGCTTCACAGGAGGCTTCTCCCAGGCAGGAGTGACTCCCGAGCAGGTGCTCACAATTACGGTACATACTGAGCACTTAGAGAGAAATCAGAGTTAAGAAAATTGTTTATCACAGACCCTCTGTGGGAAACAGTTGAGCAGCAAAATGCCATCCACATATTCCTGCCAGACCAGGTGGTTTCAGGAGATTGTTAGTGCCAGGGGATTCTCCAGTTTTGTTTCAGAGTGTCAGTCTCTCCTTTCCTGGACCCCCAGACCATGCCCTGCCAGCTGTGTTGCACAAATTTTTGACCCCCATCTTCCCAAACTCAGCTCCCCATTTCCATGCCAGCGGTGTGAAGACACCAGCCCAGCCTGCTGACAGATGCTTCCATATTTCAGAGCTCAGAGGAAGAGGAGCAACATCACACAGAGTTGGCCAGCACTTGGGTAGGCTCGTGGGGACCTGACTGGCATATAAACCTCGGGCCCAGCAAGCAGACGCCCCCAGGAGCCCAGAGGCCCAGCACTGTGCTCACAGGAAGAGCAGTGATCTGGGTTCTGGGTGTAGGCTGCGCAAGGGCGGACAGGAGGCCACTGCTGGACATTCACAGTTAGTGCAGCCTTTCTGAGCAGAGAACACTCCAGTGGGGTACCCGTCGCCGACTCTCCTGCTCAGAAAAGATGTTTTTAAGGATCAAGGTTGGGCTTTTGGTGTTTTTACTTCAGACAAATCCCATGTTTCTTTCTCCTCGTCAGCTCTCTAGCTCTTGTTATTGCAAAAGATATTTATTTACTATTTGGTTTTCTGTTTTAGCCAGAGGTCTGTCAGGGGTCTGTCCCCGCCCCACATGCATGTTGCCTGCTCCGTCATGCACCAGCCTCAGTGGCTGTTCCATCCTGCTCCATCTTCTAGAACAACCCATCCACAGTTTTACCCGAAAACCTGCTCCCGTCTCACTGAGAAGGTGGCAGGTGGGGCTCCATCCTTTTCTGTCCCCTATCAGCGTGGCCCTGTGGTCACCGGATGTTGTCTTTGTCCTTCCCAGTACAACTTTCACCCTGCGTTTGGATCTCTCCCTCTCACTCCCTTTATCGCCTTACTTTCTAGGCTCTTTTCCCAATAGGTTTTTGCCTCTTGATTTCAAACATCATCCCAGAAGTCTCCTGTGGTCTGAAACTGTTGTCCCTGATTGAGCTCCTGTCTTGCCAATGGGTTTCAGCCCTGGGCAAGTTCACTATGGATTCAAGGTGACCAAATAAATTGACAGCAAAATGTTCTTTGGGGTGAAAGGGTTTATTACCCAGCTTGTTCACTAGCGTCTCTGCCTCCGCTCAGAGCACTGGGCTGAGCTCTCTATATAGCGCAATAATAGCTTAGTGCCTAAAGGTGTGGAAGTGGTAGCCTAGCAACAGGCCAGTTACATCATCAGGTGGTTTAAGTTTAGTGGGGATCCTGGCCATAGGAGCCCCAACTTTCCCACAGCTCGCCTGGGCCTCTTGTTGCCTTTCATTTCCATGCCAGGCTTGCTCTAGTGGTTGCCATTCAAACCCTCATTTCTTCCATCCCGTTCTCAGGCGCTGCCTCTGTCTTCACGGTGTTGATGGGACTGTGTCTTGGCTGTAGCGTTGCCGTCCCTGGTGCTGGGTCCCAGCTGTCAGTGTCTTCAGCCCCTGGTGCACGAGGAAGTCGGCATCTTCCTCTTTTGAAATGCTGATGCTTTGCTTCTTTGGCGTGATAAAAAAAACTTTCCTCATCTCCTTTGCTGAAATTCTTTCTGCCTCCTAACCCGTGGACTTACCTTGGCCCTGCACAGACAGTCCCTGGATACAAACCTGCAGTGGTGACTCCTCATCTGGGGACACTTCCTGTAGTTTTTCTGGCATCACCGCAAACTCAGGAATAAAAGCAAACTTCCCATCTTCAAAATGTCTATATTTTAATTTTGAGTATGTGGAATATGGGATCCAGGAAGAAAGGAAGAAGTTGCAGCAACAGTCCTTTTCTATTTGATTGTTGCACATAAAAGCAGAAATGTGTGTGTATGTGTATGTGTGTGTGTGTGTGTGTGTGTGTGTGTGTGTGTGTTGGGTACATTTCATAGTGGCCAACTCAAAATTAATTTTTATCAACACAGCATTCTTCCTGAAAATTCTCTGTTAATCATATTATTGTCTCAAAACAACAGCTGTGTTTGTGTAAGAGAAGGTCCAATGTCCTGATTGCCCACTGGGAACTTCTGGTTATATAAGATGAAAATCACATGTACTAAGTTTATTGACATGTTAATTAAATAACTTCATTGTACTATCAGTACAAAACTCATTATAAATACATTTTAGTATGCTTTTTAAAAATGAATTTTATTGGAAATGAATAAGGGCAATATAGCAAATACAGTGTTCCAGATACTTGAGTGTAAATGGGTGTATGAGTGGTAGACATACACTCTTTTATCCTGTTAAATTTCCTACTGGAAGGCTGCCTCACACTGCTAGGCTTTCCGCCAGAAGGATAACGTAAGCTCTGTAATGTTATGGAAGGCTGAGATCCAGCTTCTGTTCCAAAAGTTCACATGGAATGTTACAGAAGAAATGAATCTTTCCAGAGGAAGGCAAAGCAGTTCAAAGTCAGAAGGCTTGACTCGAAAGTGAAGTGTATTTGCTTTTGAAGAAGGCCAGAGCCCAGGAATAGTCTAGAAACTAAAAGTTCTATACAACTTGGAGGCAACTATTTTTCAGTCTCTTCATCTGCCTTCCTAGAAAACAGAAACAAAGCATTTCGATAATTTGTGATAAAAACACCATATAAAACTTTGTATATTACTGAAGGATGATAATGTTTTAAATTGTTCATGTCATTTTCCCAGAAGAAAAAATGCTTCAAAATAAATACATTCACTTATTCATTCATCTAATGAACATTTGCTGGGTCTATGTGGAGGGGATAAAGTGTCCTCCCTATCCAGCCCTGGAGATAATGTTTTATGAAATTAGTTGTCATAAAAGACAGCCATGTGCCCTTACCAGGGTTCAGATAAAATGTGTGAGGGTTTAAAAAGGAAGAGACCTTCCAGTCTGGGGCAGAAGAGGCCCCGGGTTGAGCCAGGTCTTGCACAACTGGTAAGGTTGGAGGGGGAAATGCCTAGGAGTATTTTATGTAAGAGCCAACTTATTCTTAATGAAAACACTGTAAAGCAATGAAATGAAATGGTAAGAACTAAACTTTCAGGGAGCCTGAGTGGTTGCCCTCATCGCAGAGCTCACATTTGAGCAGAGGCCAGCCTGGCTGCGTGGCTGCTCACAAAACCAAGGTGGCTGCCACCGTGCCTGCCGCAGACTGCAGCAGCCTGCCTCAGGACCCACCTGTGACTACCAGCTGAGCGTCACAGGACAAAGAATGGGACTGTGGAGCGCGTCCCAGACTCAGGGCCTCGGGCCTCACCTTTCCCTCCCTGAGGGCCTCCCATGCTGTGGCACATGGGGCTGCTTTCTGCTTCTAGTCTAGGGGGAAGTAGGCAGGGGATCCTGCTGGGTGGGGACCATAGGATTGCTCCAGGCTCATCTTTCTCCCTTTTCCTTAGGTGCAACCTCCTGGGAAACAGCTTTCTGAAGGAAGTCATTGTCTGACTAGAGTCATGGGAGCTTCTGGGGAGGTGGGGCAGGGAGAGCCAGCTGGGGAATGGGCCCAACCCACAGCCCAGTTAGAGTCACTGAAACAGAGAGAGACAGAACTCTTGTGCACATCCGGTGGCCTTTAAATGCTACTTGTCCTCCTGGGAAGAGATGCAGACAGTGCAGCTGTTGCCATGATTAATGAGCCATTGGATGCACCGGGCAGAGCCTCAGGCTGCGGCGGGAACCAGGGGGCTGCCCTCTCTCCTGCTTAGATACCCACACTGTGCGGGGTGACATGTCCTAGTTTCTGCAGGGGACATGAGCAAGGTCCCAGGACAGCGCACGCATCTGGCAGGAGCAGGAAAGGGCTGCATGTAGACTTAGGTCTGGGGCCCCAGGCCTGGGCGAGTTAGCTCCTTGTGGCTGGAGAGCAGGAGGGCGAGGTGCCCCATGGCCCACGGTGACATTCTTGATGGATGTAAAGGCCTCCTGTCGCTGCCAACCTCACTTGCATGGCCGCTGTCATCTCAGGTCACATAAATGAACAAATCTGAATGGCTATGGCCCCTGATTAGAGCAGGCCTACAAGCCCACTCTGTCCGCTGCTCCTTCCTTCTCTCCTGTCCTTTGTCTGGGGCGCATCACCCCCACCCTAAGACCACGGGGGACGTCAGGCCCCTCCTCCACTGTCCACCACCCAGGAGCCAAGCGGAGGGATGGAGAAGGAAGCGTGCAAGTTCCCAGGCACCCGGAGCCACAGGGGTCTCGACCGATCCCAGCATCTGCCTTTCCTTTTGTTTTACTTTTATGAACTTGTTTTATGAACTCAAATATATTTGTGTGTAAGGTGCTCCTTGCTGCTTTCTAATAATAATAATAAAAACAGATACATAGGCACTAAGAAACAGCCTCAGTGGCATCAGAAGGTGGCAGCGTACACTGATTGTGGGTACATTCTTAAGTGGTTTGTGGCTATTAAAATGAGGTGTGTTGTGTGTATTAACATAAAGAGCTAACGGACAATAGAGGAAACTCAACACCAAGTTGTGCTGTCGTCTGCATAGACTTTCTTACCGCATTGCGCCTTGATGCGTCATGTCTTTTGAGTCATGGTCACGTTTGAGCACCAGATGAAATAGGAAATCTAAAACATGGAATCTCTCTTGCTCTCAAAAAGGGAAAGCTAAGTACCAGGTAAATCTCTTACTAAAGCAGCCCTCTACCCACCATCAGGGACAGCCAAACACACTCAGACCTGAGTGCCTCCAGCTGCATCAGGCCCACCTCACGCCTGTGGGCCTGTGAGCACCCGTCGGCCTCTCCCTTGGGAGCAGAGCCCGACCTGAGCCACACACCTTAGAGTTGCTTTTTAGTCTTTCCCTTTTTAGTTCCTTCCTCCCTGGGACTTTGCCATTTAGGCAAAGCAGTTCCCAAGACCTCCCTGTAAGGTCAGAGAGAGGCAGGCCTGTTCTTTCTTGCTTACAGGGTCCCAGTGCAGGCTAACCCCAGTGACCGGCTGGCGACCACACAGCCTGCCACAGCCAGGCCCCGGCCATTGCACGCTGACCCACTCCTGCCGATGAGGCCTTGGCACGCCTCTGCGCTGGCGGCTGGGATTACAGCTGAGGGTGCCGCCAGGAAGGTGAGCAGCCTGGCGGTCTGATGGAGCCGAGTGTCCCTGAGTGTCCCCACGTGGGGGGTCCAGGGCTGCATTTGCCAGCTTGCTGGGGAAGAAAGGAACTTATTATGTGTGGGTGGCAGCGCCCAAGAGGTGTTGAGCAGAGAAAATGGTTGAAATTCAAGCCACTGCGATGCTGGCAGCCTGGCGCCTGCTGTTAGACAGCAAGATGAACTCTGATAAACCTGACGGCACCTTCTCCATGGCCTGCTCCCCACCAGGCCTGGAAACTCTAGCACCCAATGGAGAGGGGAGGGCTGCAGGGCTCCCCTGGCCAGGCTTGTTGGGGGAGTTTTAAGCAAGAGGCTGATGTAATACAGGCCAGGCCCTTCACCAGTGGTCTGGTGACAGCAGGGTCTGCAGGGCAGGTGCATGGCCTGGGGTGTCTGCAGCTGCCACCGGGCAAGGGTGAGAGGAGAGAGAGCTGGGCAGCAGAGGCCCAAGTGCACCAGTCTTGGGATCCGTGCTGGTGATAGGGACCAGAGGCTGGGGAGGGAGGCCCCTGGCAAAAGGCCCCTTGCCAAACCCTCCTGACAAGCTAGTGAGAAGCCTGTCCCTTGCGGAGAGTGACAGCCTGTCCAGCAAACTCCCTGTGTTTCCTTTCTTGGCCTGGAGATTGTGGTGATGTCCCTCCTTGTTAGAGTCCACATCTATGTGCTTGACCTCAAAATCCTTGTGTCCATGCACCAAGCCTGGATGCAGTTAATGCCGCTGAATCTACATTTAAAACAAGGTCACAAATAGAACTACTATGTGACCCAGCAATTCCACTTCTGGATATATATCCAGATACCTATATTTTGCCATAACTTAAAAAAAAATCCTCCCAGTTCTTTATTTTTGACCTGAAGGATGAAACCCTTAGGAGCTCCAAAGTGAAGAGAGAGGGCTAGCTGAGCAGAGGGCTGGCTGTGAGCTCAGGAGATTCCAGGCAGAAAGTTCTGGATCCTCTGGTCAGTGGTGCGGCCCGGATGGGGATGCGGCCTAGAAGCTCCGATGCTTCTAGGAGGTTGGTGACTCGTGGCTGAGCTTGGCGGGTCGGTATTAAACATCTGTGAGTGAAGGGGGCCCCAGGTCCCTTAAAGTGGGGGCCCTGCCCCTTCAGAAGAGGGTTGTGCGACCACAGCAAGCTTCCTGAGAGGCAGAGGCAAAGAGGAAAAGCACAAATGGATTACAGATCAGAAAGAGCTTTTAAATTATCACAAATATCTAACTTCTCTGTGGGACAATATGGGGTGGTGCCTCTTTTCCTTCCCTCTTCTCTTACCTTCCTTCCTCCCTCTTCCTTCCTCTCTTCTTCTTTTTCTGCTGTTCATCATATAAAGCATGGCTGCTCCCACTTCTTAATAAGTCATTCAACTGCTTGCACATAAACCATGCAGCATAATTTTTTTAAATGCTCTACTTTTCTGATCTGATCGGAAGTATTCATGCTTGGATAGACACTCAGGAGGCGGCAAAGGTTCCCACATGACTGCGCTGACCTGGGCTCTCCTGTGTCCCTAATACCTGCCCCCTTCTCTACACCTGGAACACTGTTATTGACAGCTCTCCTGGCAAGAAGCTAAACTTGAAAATGCCTTAAAAATGGCTACTATTTGTCATAATTCAAAATAATCAGAGCAGGCCATTATTTCAACCATTTTGTACTAGGTCGACATGGGTCTATGAGATGACAAGTAGATGCTCTTCCAAAATTACTTCTAAAGTTGTTGCAAATATCTTCTGCCTTCTAATCAACTATTAAAGCTACAAGCAGCTGAGAAGAGATTATGTGTATGAAAAGCTCCTTGATTGGAAGACTTAGCGTTAGTGTCCCTCATTAGGAGAGCTGTGAAAAGAAGCAAGCACCCCAGTGTCTGGTGGAGGGAGAGGGGGCACATTGCAGAAGGCCACTCTGTGCTCCCATCGGCAGGTGGGCTGATAACCCTCCATTTTTTTATTACAAGCAAAGCACAGTTGTTATCTGATTGCAAAACAAAACATATTCACTGTTAAAAAAATAATAACTTTGGGAAATGCAAAAGACCACAAAGAATCAATTTCTTTTTAATTTGATTCTTTTTAAAAATCTTCTTTGGGTCCTTTATGGGGAGAAAAAAAAATGTTTTCAAAAGAGACCCATTTCCAGGAGATTACCTACAAGGAATAAAACACCTCTGCTGACAGTTTGAGTAACTAAGCCAGTAAACATCAAGAAATGTATTCTCAGAAGTGAGATCCAGGATTCTTAGCCGAAATTGAGAGAAAGGTAGAGTCTTGATGGTCCTATGTTACTGGATTTTCTGTTTATGACAGAGGAAGCAATATGGACAGACAATACAGCAAATTGGGAAAAGCACTTAGTGAGCACTGGTCCAGCCTAGGATGAGCAGCACAGGGCTGGCAGCCACCTCAAATGCCATCGTCACTTAAGTTCAGGAGACTGCCCAGCCTAGGCCTTGGCTCAGAAAAGCCACCTTGGGAGCCACCGATTAACACCCACACTGGGGACACCCAAGGGAAACACATTCAGAGAGGTCAAAACTGAAATTGCAGTGGAGACATTGCTACCTCCAGGCTTGGAAGTACAGGATCCTGGTCCTCTGTGGACTGTAACCCACCGTGTGCCCTTGGAAGGTCCTCAAATGCCTTTAGAGCCTCAGTGTCCTCACTGTAAAGGGGAGATCTTAATGGCTGCCTCCCAGAAACTGCGAGGAACCAATGAGCTGATGGAGAGAGTCTAGTGCCACATCTGGCGTATAGCTATGTATTCAATAAAGAGCCAAGCACCTTAATTTCTCTACCAAGCACACCCCTGGAATCATCCCCAGTGCCTCTGGGTCATGAGGACAGTGGGTCCCGAGCCTTTCTGAATAAAACAGGGACTGGGGTTATCCACGGAGTGGTCAACTCATTCCCAGATGGTCTTTTTCTTTTTACTTGGTTCTAATTCCATGAACCTGCCTGTTGCTCTCAGACTCCCAGGCTGTGGGAAAGGTGCCAATCAGGGTGTGGAGGAGACCTCATCATGTTTTTATCTTTCTGCTCTGCTGGAAGTGAAAAGGGTCTGAGTCCCTGGACTGTGTGCCAGAGAGACAACATGCCTCTGCAGGGATGGGAATGGTGGCCCGTTCCGCAGGAGCCACTTTACCCCCACACGTTGTTCCAAATGCTACTGCCACCAGCCAGTGGGGAAGACAAGATTCGGCACTTGTGTATGAAAAGCTCCTTGATTGGAAGACTTAGCGTTAGTGTCCCTCATTAGGAGAGCTGTGAAAAGAAGCAAGCACCCCAGTGTCTGGTGGAGGGAGAGGGGGCACATTGCAGAAGGCCACTCTGTGCTCCCATCGGCAGGTGGGCTGATAACCCTCCATTTTTTATTACAAGCAAAGCACAGTTGTTATCTGATTGCAAAACAAAACATATTCACTGTTAAAAAAATAATAACTTTGGGAAATGCAAAAGACCACAAAGAATCAATTTCTTTTTAATTTGATTCTTTTTAAAAATCTTCTTTGGGTCCTTTATGGGGAGAAAAAAAAATGTTTTCAAAAGAGACCCATTTCCAGGAGATTACCTACAAGGAATAAAACACCTCTGCTGACAGTTTGAGTAACTAAGCCAGTAAACATCAAGAAATGTATTCTCAGAAGTGAGATCCAGGATTCTTAGCCGAAATTGAGAGAAAGGTAGAGTCTTGATGGTCCTATGTTACTGGATTTTCTGTTTATGACAGAGGAAGCAATATGGACAGACAATACAGCAAATTGGGAAAAGCACTTAGTGAGCACTGGTCCAGCCTAGGATGAGCAGCACAGGGCTGGCAGCCACCTCAAATGCCATCGTCACTTAAGTTCAGGAGACTGCCCAGCCTAGGCCTTGGCTCAGAAAAGCCACCTTGGGAGCCACCGATTAACACCCACACTGGGGACACCCAAGGGAAACACATTCAGAGAGGTCAAAACTGAAATTGCAGTGGAGACATTGCTACCTCCAGGCTTGGAAGTACAGGATCCTGGTCCTCTGTGGACTGTAACCCACCGTGTGCCCTTGGAAGGTCCTCAAATGCCTTTAGAGCCTCAGTGTCCTCACTGTAAAGGGGAGATCTTAATGGCTGCCTCCCAGAAACTGCGAGGAACCAATGAGCTGATGGAGAGAGTCTAGTGCCACATCTGGCGTATAGCTATGTATTCAATAAAGAGCCAAGCACCTTAATTTCTCTACCAAGCACACCCCTGGAATCATCCCCAGTGCCTCTGGGTCATGAGGACAGTGGGTCCCGAGCCTTTCTGAATAAAACAGGGACTGGGGTTATCCACGGAGTGGTCAACTCATTCCCAGATGGTCTTTTTCTTTTTACTTGGTTCTAATTCCATGAACCTGCCTGTTGCTCTCAGACTCCCAGGCTGTGGGAAAGGTGCCAATCAGGGTGTGGAGGAGACCTCATCATGTTTTTATCTTTCTGCTCTGCTGGAAGTGAAAAGGGTCTGAGTCCCTGGACTGTGTGCCAGAGAGACAACATGCCTCTGCAGGGATGGGAATGGTGGCCCGTTCCGCAGGAGCCACTTTACCCCCACACGTTGTTCCAAATGCTACTGCCACCAGCCAGTGGGGAAGACAAGATTCGGCACTAGGACTGTGCTGGGCCTCTGTCTACTGATCAGCAAAGAGGAGGTCATTCGGGTCTGCACTTGCTGTCACTGAGGAGGGTGGAGCAGGGAGGAGCAGGAGCTAAGCCCTGCCCCTGGGGCCTAACAAGCGGTCCAGCGGGCTGCAGCCTTTCTATTGCATAAACGAAGACACCAAGCCCTTGTCTCAGTTGGGTTCTTCTAGTTGGAGTTTTAATGCCTCCTTGAAACCCCTGCTCATTTCTCATATGAAGTGCTGAGACTCCCTGATTTTGTCATATGAGGCCTTTGTCTGCACTGGTGGCCATAAGAACATACCCCAACATGTGGCTTAAACAACAGACACTTATTTCTCACAGTTCTGGAGGCTGGGAGCCCAAGATCTGGCACCAACTGAGGGGTCTCCGAGGGCAGTTTCCTGTGCTGACCTGTGAGCCTGGCTCTGCTGCTGCACGCTGTCCTCAGAACCCTCTAGGCACACTTGTGCGGGCAGTGAAACGCAGTATCACTAGGCCCTGACTCCAGCTCAGGGTCTGGGATGTGGTCCAAGAAAATCCTGTGCAGCTTGCGCTGAGTGTGACATCGCCTCCCAACCACAGAGCTATGTGCTTGGGGACAGTGAACGGACATCAAGTAGAGGGGCTCCCAGCCATTCACGGTAAGGAGCAGGGATACGTAAGACCCACAGAACTTTCCCAGCCTCGAGGAACTCTGTGGAGTTTTCATGCTCTGCCCTAATAGTGTTCTGCCAAAACTGCTTCAAGATGAATAAACTGGACTGGGTTCGTTCTCCTAGAGGACCAGAGACATGGTTCAAATGTGAGCAGCAGGTTGAATCTCTATAACCAGTGTTTGAATAGCCAAGAGTGAGCCAAATTCAATCCTGTGTTTGGCTCAGAACCCTCCCCACTCTTGAACATCAACTTCAAGAACTTTCAGAAAGTTCTTACCCTGGTCCAGCCTAGGATGAGCAGCACAGGGCTGGTGGCCACCTCAAACGCCATGGTCACCAAGTTCAGGAGACACTGCCTAGCCTAGGCCTTGGCTCAGAAAAGCCACCTTGGGAGCCACCGATTAACACCCACACTGGGGACACCCAAGGGAAACACGTTCAGAGAGATCAAAACTGAAATTGCAGTGGAGACATTGCTACCTCCAGGCTTGGAAGTTTAATGACCAGGGCCACCTGGTGTTGAGTGTCAGTGTTCCCCTTTTATGGGCAGCAAAACACAGTAAAGTTGGGCACAATACTCCTGCTTGCCCAGGAAGTCGGGGGCCTCCGCAGCCCTGCTGTGAGCGCTATTTGCCCATGTGTTGGCTTGGCGGTGATTACCCCATTTCCGTATCAGCGTGTTTCTGGGGTGGCCCCCCAGGCAGTGCCCTTTCCCTGCAGTGCTGCCTGTGGCCCAGAATCCAACTCAGGTAACTGCCAGGGAGACCCCAGCTCTCCGCAAACCTCTCTGCTTACTGTGGAACGAGGCCAGCCCTTTGGGGACAGCGGTTCTTTGTCTTCGTGGCTCTGGGTGTCATACGGTGTCTGATATCGAGGGGGAGAAATTCATACTCATCCCATGGAGGAGAGAACAAAGAGGCCTGAGAGACTGAGGAGGTGCTGGTTTTAGGAGCATTTTTCTCCTGAGAACTGTATCTGGCCCAAGGCAGAGAGGCAAGCTTTCTTCAGTGGGTCTCTTGCTACCGCCTCTCTGTCTCCTTTTTGTCCACCTTCCTCTGACTTCCACTTATGTGATCTGCCCACATGGGCCCCACATAATCATGCGGGACTATATCACTGTTTTCCAAACAGAGGGATGCACACCCCATTTCTTTTAGGTTTTCTACAAACATAAAAATCAATAATACAGGATCTCATGGTGAAAAGGTTATTCATTGTGCAATTTGCCCTCCAGCCTGTTCCTGACAAGGAACAAGAGAAGGTCCCAGTTCATGTGCTATGCCTTTACCGCCTCTCGAATATCCATTTTAACAAAGAAATCACAGGCAACCATCACAGGCAAGACCATCAGCAGGAAAGAATATCCATCCGTAACTGAAAAGTGTAATTCTTCCCACCACAAAAAGAAATTGTGTGATGTGATGGGGTGTTAACTATCTTTACAATGGCAACGATATTACAATACGTAAATATATCCAATCAACATGTTGTACACTTTGAACATACCCAATATTATATGTCTAATATGTGTCAGTAAAAAAATAAATACAACTGGAAAAGTAAGTCTCCTAATAAGGCTAATGCTTTTATGGTAGTGATTTAAGTTTTCCTTGCAAAGTAAAGTTCATCAACCCAGCTTAAAGGAAAATGCTAAGTAACTCCTTGTAAAGGCAGTGCAAGTTTATGGTGAGAAAAGCAGGAAGTTGTTACATGATATGTGAATGATTTAAGTTTGGGACACACTTGAATAACCATATATTTTTTCCTTCCTCTTGCTGCCTTTCTGCACATCCACACCTGCCCTCTCCAGGTCCTGCTTGACTATTTCAGAAAGGGTCAGGGGACAGTGGAAAGTCAGCCAGAGGTGGGCACTGCTCAGACAGATGCTTCTGCCACCAGCCCAGCATGTCTGCCCATACCCTCACCCTGACGAGGCCAGTTTGCAGACCACAGTCAAACCCCTAATTACTTTTTCCCTAGGGCTGCCCCACTTTGCAGCAAAGCGCGCCAGCCAGGCTCAGCTCTGTGCAGTCTCATTCATCAGAAATCACTTAAAGGCTAATGAACAGGCCTCTGCCTGGGCCACATGTGAGCAGATCAGGTATCTGGTGGCTGCCCAGGCAGGGGAGCCTCACCACAGAAACATGTGGTGACTAAGTTCTCAGGAAAGAACCAGGGTTTCCATTATCCTAGGCTTTCTAGGTAATGCAATCTCAAAATCAATTCTCATTAAAAACAAGTGATATTAATACCTCTGACAGGTTACATCTTAAGTGATAATTAAAAGCATATTTCTTGATGCTTAGCTGCTATGAAATGCATCCCTATATATGCCACAGAGGGGGTCTCGTGCTAAGACCCCATAGACACTCATTAGCTCCCCTAGGAAACCTCATAGTTCCTGGAGTGCCATTCATTATTTTAATCTGATTTTCTTCACTCATGTGAAATAGGACCTGGCATTGGCACGTTCTTTCTCCATCTCCACCAAGAGTTTTTAAAAGCTATGAACACTGTCATAAACTAAGAAAAAAAGATTTACTTTGCACCAATGCCACCTTCAGAGCAATCAGTGGAGTTTCTTCATCACTGCCAACGCTAATTGTATATGTTTTATAAATCTCCCTCAATTAGCAAAAGGCAGTGTGGCAGCTGAGATGTTTAATTCTTTATCTGAGGTGTCACAGTAGCAGGAATCTCGGTGTTGGGAGCCTGGGTGAGAAGTGGGGTGACGGGCTCAGATTTTCAGAAGAGTATGAGAATTTTTACAATGGCCAGGAATAGTCACTGATGTAGCCCTTTCAGTGTTAAGATGTCAAATTTTATCTCGAAAACTATCTATTGGGGAAAAAAATGGGAACTCTCAATATCTCTTTCTTCTGACCTGGATTTATGGATCACTAAAACACATCATTCAGGCACAGGAATAAGTGTCCATTATGGGACGCTCTGGTTTGCCAGGGTGTCCGTAACACAGCACCACCAACTGGGTGGCTTACAACGAACAGAAGGTCATTGTCTTACAGACCTAGAGACCAGAGGGGTGAAAGCGAGGCGTCGGCAGGGCCGTGCTCCTCCTGAAGCCTCCCGAGGAGGGACCTTCCTGCTTTTCCTGGCTTCTGGCCCCCCAGGCCTTCTCCTGGGCTTGCGGCCACATCCCTCCTGGCTCTGCTTCTGCCTGCTCGTGATCATCTTCCCTCTGCGTCCTGTCTTCATCTTCCTCTGAGGACACCAGACATACTGGATCAGAGGCTGCCCACTCCAGTATGACCCCTTCTTAACTGATTACAGCTGCAGTGCCCCCATTTCCAGTAAGGTCACATCGGAGGGACTGCGGGTGAGGACATTAACAACACTTAGGGGTACACAATTCAACCCATTAGATGCGTAGAAAGACAGATTAGTCAATAAGTGATTTTGGATAACTGGCTAACCATTGGGGAGAAAAATGAATTCCTTAATTCCTTATCCACTTCTTACCACAAAAATGTCAAAGAAATCAAAACCTTAAGTGTGAAAAATCATTAAAGTATTAAAATCATAGCAGCCAAACATAAAACTTATGTGCAGGCATGACTTGGAGTGCTTTACACATATGTCACTCTGCTATCACCTCCATTTTACAGCAGAGAACACTGAGGCACAGAGAAGTTCATCACTTACCTGAAGTCACACAGCTGGTAAGCACCAGAGATGGGATTCAACCCCTGCAGCTTGGTTCCAGAGTCTGTGCTCTTGATCAATTTTATATGAGTAACACAGTTTTGGAGGAAGGCGATTCTAATGTCCATTTTTACTGTACGCTCTCCTGTAGTGTTTAAAATTTTTATAATGGATATGTACTGCTCTAAAATAAGTAAGAAAATACTTCGCTCTGTCTGCCCCCACCCCTTTCTCCTGCCCACCCCTGCCTCCCTCCCACTTGTACCCTCCCCTACCAGGGCCAGTCAGATTCTTAATCTGCCCAAGGTTTGTAACTAGAGGAATCCACTAGCTTCTACAATGGAATCTTTGCCTTAGAACTGCACTCTGAATGCTATACTCTTCTGGAATTTTCTGTCTTCCTTGGTGTTGAGACCAAGTAACTGTCTCCGACTCAGTCAAGTACGCATTCCCTTTCACAGTTCTGAAACGGCTGCTTGGGCTTTTCTCCAAACAAGGCTCCTCTAGCATCGGAGTGCTTACGAATCCCCTGGAGAATTCATTACACTGCAGATTCTGGCTTTGCCCGGGAAAGAGGATGAACCGAGACCCTCCACTGCCTACAAGCTCCCAGGGTAGGCCCAGGCCCACGTCCTTGGGCCACACGGGGGTCCTAAATCTCTGAACCTCTGCCTTCTCCATCAGCTCTTCCTCGTGCCTCTGTGTCCCCCTGAAAACCAGGACTGCAGACCCTGAATGGAAATGACCCAAAGCCGGAAGTTGAAATCCTCCCCTAAGAATCTGACTGCCCAGCAAGCTGCTCTCAGGAAGGTGCCCTGGGGAAAAAGAAAAATGAGGGTGGAGCAAAGAGCTTTCTTGTTCAACTTACTGAAACTTGGCCCCAGAAACAAAGCCTTCTGAAGCCTCCCCATCGGAGGCAGGACTCGAAGTGGAAGAATTCCCCAAAGTTGGGCATCTGCCCAAAGGAGCCGGACACTGGCAGTCGGGGAGTTTTGCTTCCTCCTTCACTCAGGCATTTTACCTGTTCCCTGCTAAGTGTGAGTCCCTGAAATAGACACGTTAATTTTGTTGAAAACAGCAGAGAAATGATCTGGGGTCTTCAGCACTCTTTTTCTTCTGGGACACAAAGTGCGTGTAAATATAGTGTCTAATTCCTTTGCAAAACCAACCATCACTCCTTCTTAGCAGAAGGAAGAAACTAACATGATTTCCTGAAGGGCCCCTAAGCAGAGGGGCAGAGGCAGCACCAGTACAAGGCTCCAGGCATCACTTCCGACAATGCTTACTGCTAGGTTCTTTGTAGCCAGAGAAGAAAGGTGCCCGCGTTTACTGAACCCTACCATACGCCAGGCTCTGTACATAGGGGATCACATCAGAGCCAGTAAGCAGCCAGAATAAAACTACTAACCCAATCTGCTGACCTTAAAAGCAAACCAAAACCACAGTGAGGTGTCACTTCATACCAGTTAGAATTGGTATTGTTTAAAAGCCACAAAGACAACTGCTGGTGAGGACGTGGAGAAATAGGAGCCTTCATGTACTGTTAGTGGGATTTTGCAAAGTGGCATAGCCATGGTGGAAAACAGTATGGAGGTTCCTCAAAAAATTAAAAATACCCCTATCATATGATCTAGCCATCTCACTTCTGGGTATTTACCCCCAAATTCAGCATCTTGGAAAGGTATCTGCACTCCCATGTTCATGGCAGTGTTGTACACAATCGCCAAGACTCTGCAACAAAATGAATGTGCATGAATGGATAAATGGATAGAGAGAATGTGATACACAAAGACAGTGGAAGATTCAGCCTTAAAAAAAATGCGTCAAAATGGACGAACTTTGAGAACATTATACTAAATGGAATAAGCCAGTTACAGAAAGACAAATACTACATGATCCCACTTGTATGAGGAATCTAAAATGGTCAAACTCACAGAAGCAGAGAGTAGAAGGTTCTTGCCAGAGGCTGGTGGAAGGAAAGGGGAGTTAGGCCTATCAGTGGGTACAACGTTTCAGTTAGGCAAGTTGAATAAATGCTGCCTATAGTTTACAATACTATATTGTGCATTTAAAAATCTGTTAAGAGCATAGGTCTTGTGTTATGTGTTCTAATTTAAAAGAAGATGTTTCTAAGAATGCAAGTTACATATATGAATCAGGACAGTGCTATTTTAATGAAACAATGTGTCCACCACGCTATAGTGTATGGGATACCCAATGTAAAGACCTATGTATAAGGATGTTTCTAAAAAAAGAAATTATATAAATACCAGTTACAGATTAACAAAATTACTGTCCTATAAATTATATGAGAAGAGTAGGTAGAGTGTGGGTGGAAAAAAATCTGTGTGGGGAACAAAACATTCCTGGTAGATTAAAGGATTCTGAAATGGCCCCACATGTTTTTGGTGTATGTCCATTTATTTGATTCATCCTGATTAATGTGATTTAAGCAGATATTTATCATGCAGTTATTATCTAAACACAAGGTATGTTAGGGGATTCCAACACGGGCTAGAATAATGTCTGTCCTTTACTGTTTAAAAGGGAAGGTAAGAAAAGCAAATATGTAATTATTTCATACTTACTCAGCTGGGCAAGTTTGGAAAAATATTGAGATGTCCCCTCCATTTTGGTAACTAGGACGAATGGTGAAGTAGCCAGGGCTGAGGGCCGACTGGTGAGGCGGGGTTGACTTGGGGAGGAAATCCTGCTGAGCAGCCCGCCCGCCGCTGTGGAGGTGGAAGGGGCGTGGAAATCCTGACACAACTTCAGAGACGCCCCTGAGCAGCTGCAGGGCCACCAGCAGGAGGAGCCCTCTCAGCTCAGGTCAAGGTTTTTCCTGGTACTGAGTAAATGAAGTTAGTGACCTTTGTTCCCTGGATTCTTGATACTCCCATGTAATTGCTTATTAAAATGAGGTCTGAGCCCACGTGTGGATTTCTCTGCTTGTAGATATCCATGCTGGTCACACTACGCTTAGGACAGGAGGGAGCTCTCTCCTGTACAACCATAAGCCCCAATTTGGTGGTCTGCCACTGCCAAGAATCCAAAAGACATCCTTAAACTCACGTTTACATTAAGTTCCTGAATTCCTTTTTGTTCTTTCGTAGAAAAGGCTAAAATACTGGAACCATGAAAATTAGCCATCGCCCGTGCCCTTGCCATTAGCTCACTATCTCCTTTTGCTCTCATTCCCATTTCTACAGCTTCCTGCACCTAAGCATCCTGCAGCTAAAACACCAGTACACCCCGCAAACTCACAAACCACCTGGGATCACCCCTTGCAGATCTGAAGCCTGTGCTCATGTTCATGTCAGAGTTAAACTTCCATACACAAAATGAGAACTGCAATCCTGAAGCGACCTTGATCACTTTCCAGCCTGAGGAGCATCACGCAGGGCAAACCATCCAAGTTGGCTTGGCCAGAATGTGGGAAGGCTGTGTTGTGGAATCACCGCGTGGCGCCATGGCAACGGTATGGACAGAATCCCCCACCCTCCATGCCTCCACGTGTTTCTGAGACATGACTGCAAAGTACCAGCCATGTTCACAATCAGTCTCATTCTAGAGAGGAATTATGCCTCCGTGGCCTTTGGATGATGAATGATTGCAGACCCCAGGGCCAGATCTATAGATACAGCCATGCGAAGCAAAGGAATGAGCAAGAGCCGTCCGTGGCTTGTTTCATTTCAGGCTTCAGCTAAATGTAATACATCATTTTGTTCTTATATAAGAAGACTTTATGTGAAACTTTCATCCTATTCTTTGTACATATTATTGAGTTCCTACCACCCGGCATTCATGCACCCAGTATTTGCATGGTGTTGATTGACAAGCCATGGAGTTTTCTCTAAGAGACTAAGTGTCCCTGCCCTCAGGATTTTATCCTCTAAGGTGCAAAAAATAAAATGAGGCTTCTCCTTGAGCCCCGATCTTCACTTAAAAATATGGAGGGAGTAAAAAGGTACACTTTACGTGCTGGAAAAAAAACATTTCCTCACCTTTTAATTAATCATGTAGCCACTATTTGCCCACTAAGGATGAAAAAAAAAAAGATATCTTCTACTGTGAATGGACACCTGGTACAGACTTCATGACTCCTGAACCTAAGATACTGCCAGGGCATATTTCACTGCCACAAATTGGGGTGCACATTAGGCCATTCAGAGATATTGTGATATTAAACAGAACACAATTTGAAAAGTAAAACTTGACATGGAAATAGCACATCATATTGTAAACCAAAAATAACTGATTTTTGCATTATCCAAGCTTGGATAAATAATAAGATCCTCTACTACCATCACAGCCACAGTTCATCTTGGGTCAGCCATCATTCCCTCTTGCCCGCAGGATGCCCATCACCCAGAGCACATCTTGGGGTCTGTATCTTACCTCTAATCAGGGTATATTCTTCAAGTCCTTGGAGTAGGGTTCTGCCTGTCCCTCTGCCAAGAACAAGACTGAAGGCAGCTGGGAACAGGGCTATTAAGAGATGGGAGGAGAGTAGACACAAATTTTCTCCTCATTGGGCTTTTCAGATTAGGAAAAATATATAGCCTTCAATCAATGGAAAATAACAGAGCCTCAAGAAGTCGATGGAAATAACCTGTAAAAAATTATAAGCTTTACACCAGGGGTAACATATTTGGTTGCAATTTGGGGTATTCTGTTGGAAGGACATTAAAGTACCAAACAGATTAGTTCCCATCATCTAACTCCCCTAACTCTAACCAGGATTCACTGGACTTGATAATGACTTTATGCCCATCCATTCCCAGTTTTGGAGCAACTTGAAATACTCATTTCTTTCACCCTCCCACCATCTGCTCTTTCACACAAAGAGGCAAAGTGAGGCATGCCCATTCAGTTCCATTTATTCTGACCCTTCCCAGCCCCTTCCTTTTTTTTAACCACCCCCAGAGATAAATGTCTTCATTCTTTTTATGCTTGATTCTAAGCAATCATGAACTATCCAGTTCTTCTCACCCCCAGAGGTACAAAGCTATGACTGCATGAAGATCAGAAAAACAAGAAGACAGATCTGACCTTTATTTTCTTGTCTTTGAAGAGCATCCCAGCACTCACGTGAGATGTCACATTTTTAAATAGGTCATGGGGTGGCAGTTTTATTCCATGTTGATATGTAGCCCATGGAGATGAACTTTATGGTGATGTAATGAATGCATAATTTAGCCAAGAACCACTGATTGAATGGTCATTCTGTGTAAGGCAGTGGAAGAAATGCCAAGGGGTTACTATCTAGTTGAGGGGTAAACATACACACAAGAAAATTAACTCATGATAGAGGAGGCGTGTATGGGCTCAGTCAGTGGTATAAGAAGGGAGAGAACATTGTGAACCAGAGCATCTGGGGAAGGCGTGAGGATTGGTGTGGCTGAGCCAGGAGGGCAGTAGGATAGCATGACTGAGGAGGAGAGAGAAATGCCCACTGGATGCCCACTCTGAGACGGCCCTTCTGGGAGCACAAGGAAGGTTGGCACTGGAGAGTAGGGGACATCGTTTCATGGTGACAAGGAAATCTGCCCCTCCGCAGGCTGCTGTTACCTCCGTCTGCTGTGCGCACCATCACACAACAGACTCCGAGGCCAACTGTACCTTCCAAAAGTGGACACAGTCATATTTCTAGTCCCACATGCTCTTCCAGAATGTTGTCACTGCCCCATCGAGACTCCATTTCCCCAGGCCTTGAAGTGTGTGGGAGCTCCCCTGCAGTGGACTCAGTGAGTAAACTGCAGCGGAAATGATGCTGGGTGTCGCCGAGGCTTGGTGGGCCGGTGTCTGAGTGACCGCTGTGTGCAGGCCACAGCCCCCTCCTCACGGGGGTGCCAAGATGGCCCTGCTGCACGGCGCCTGCAGGGATACACAAAGCACAGGGCGTGGGCCCTGCCTCTGAGGCGCTTACAACATTAAATGAACATCACTAGACCTTAGTTCTTAGGGTTGCTGTATCCACATGCCGTGAGGCGTGGGGGGAATGTTAAGAGGTGGGAGGATCTGATAAACATCAGCGGGACCTAATTATGAGAAAATACCCCACGAACTAACACAGGGCAAGAATAAGGGTGTGAGGGAAATAGCCCTTACATTTAGCACGTGCTTCTGAGAAGAAACCAGTTCCGTCCAGTGGGTTAAAGTAGTATTTTGACCAAGTAAGCTGTAGTAAGTGCATTTTTTGCCCCAAAATTCATCAGTGTGAAGTTTTCTGTTCTGGTCATGCACAAGGAATGCCTAAAACTATCGCAACAACGGCTGGGGGAACTGGGTCCACTCAGAGAGCTCTTGGTGCCCCCTTGTGGGACTGCCTGAGAAATGTTAAAACAGAGCACATTTGAGGGCACCTGGAGTCTACCACTAAGAGATATTTCATGAGAGTGAATCGAAATTAACGATTGGCATACTTCACTACCACCTTGAGGTACCACAAATAGGATGTCCTGAAGCGCGGAGGAAGACCGCCTGGAGCCAAGTGAGGGGAGGGCTTGCAGCTCCAGGACCGTGTGCTCCGCAGAGGAATCATCATACCTTCATCTGAAAAAGAAGAGCCTCAAGGGCTGTTGTGATGATCAAAGAATAACAGATATGAACCTACTTCAAAATATAAAACCCTGTCCCAGGGTGGAAAGGCAACAGGGGCTGCTGACCCAGCAGTCACCGTGGGAAATGTGGCTTCTCCTTCACTGGCTTGAAGCATTCAGGGCTTTCTATTGGCAGCCGGTGCTGTAATGGCAAGCCCATTGCTTTTAGGTGATCCAGTCTTTTCCCACTGAACACTGGCCACCATCATTTCCAGACAACCAAGTGGCGGTCTCCACCCAGGGGGAAGAATAGTCTGCAGAGAAAGAAGAGGTTTAGGAGGCCACAGTACTCTTTTCTTTCACCATTTGACTCATTCTGCCATGTTCTCATAGCCTCTTACAACACAAGGGTAATGAACACGATCTGTATTATCTAGTGGAGTCCCGCTGGCAGTCGCTTCATTCCCAGGCTTATTGGTCTCCTCTGGAAGATGGATTGTAAAGAGTGGTCCAGAGAGTCCCAGCTACTAGGGCTGGCCAGGAAGTGACAAACACACGCACTCCCCACGGGGTCACGCAGGAGTGCTCCGCTATCCCACACGTGACCGAGTTCTTCAGGGTTCAGCCTCCAGCAAGGCGTGCCCCACTGTGATCACTGCACTTCAGCCGAGAGCCTTTCAGAATCCAGGTCAGAGCATGGCCCCACTCCATTCAGAATAACAAAGCCTCCAGGACCGCTGTGGTCTGGCCACTGCTTTCCTCTCCTCTCTGGTCTTGTACCTACTGTGCCTCCCTCCCATCCTGTGCTTTCTGCTCTGGTCACACCACCTGCTTCTAGCCTGTCCACCTTCAGACCCCAGGCCCCCCTTCCCAACCCTCCCCCATCACATGACTCACCACCACCCTTCTCCCCGCAGCACTTACCCTGGTGCCATCTGACATTTGGTCACAACAAGTCTTTGACCAACATTTTTCTCCCCCCTACAGTTTGAGCAACATGAACAGGAACCAGGTCTGGTTTTGCAACTTGCTCTATCCTTGGTCCCCAGCTCAATGCCTGCACATAGGAGAGATGTGTTGAATGAACAAATGAACAGATGCATTTTGATAGGGAAGAATGCCGAGTAACTGATTACACTGAGGAATAAACAGAAGAGGAAGGGGCCTCACCCTCAGCAGGGCAGGGCAATCAGATGTCTGTGTTTTCCACAAAGTCAAATGCAAAAACCACAGACCAATGAATTTCTGTATGTCTCAAACCCAGCTCAGCATCTGGTCTGTCATGGTAGGTACCAGTCATTATCTGTTGAATCAAATGCCACTGGGCCAGCCTGGCTCATTTCTGACCACCTCCATCTCTCCTGAAGCGTTTGAAGACACTGAACCATCCATTTTCACAGATCAAAGGCAAAATGCTGCGTGGCACTTCCAAGAAAATGGGTTGAGCTGTTGTCCCAAGGATGTGTTCATTTACTATTAGATGTTATTAGTCCAATAAATAAGGAGTGAAGAAAAGGAACTGCTTATCACTATGGCACCGGGTTTTCCTGCTCAAAAAGTGCCATAGTGGCAAAGACAGATGGAATATCAATTACAGATTCACTTAGCACTTGCTAATTGCAAGTGACAGCCAATTTTCAGCTGTATAGTAATTAGTGACAATTAAATATATATATTTATTTGTAAACAAAACTCAATTATTTTTGGTTACAAGGACTATGGCATGTTAGAGAAAGAGTGTTACGTGCACTGAGAATGGGCTCCTGTCCTGGAAGATCTGGTAGGGAGATGTCAGAAAAATATCTGAAAAGGGCTCCTATGACTTGTTCTGTGAAATCACAGAACTCGTAGCCTTCCTTCAATGCCACAGTTGGATTATACTATTATGGTCTGCACTGCACTGTTCTGTATCAGACATTCGCAAATGCATTCAGAAGTGCCATTCACATGGGCAAACATTTAGAAATGAATGAAATGGACATAAAACATACATTACAGTTCTTTATATGTTATGATGTTTGTCCCAATGATTCAATGGAGGAATTAAGTGGCAATATTTGTATTTTGTTTCCTTTTACAATAACTCTGATCATGAGGAATAATGCCATTCCATTTTCACAAAATGAGGAAATTATGAGGAGTTTAAGAAACACCCTCAGATGAGTCAACAGAACCCTGGATAAACTAGGAATCTGGACAACATTCATATACCTGAACCAGGTATATGAATTTCAAAATAAGTGAAAGTTAAAGAAAAGTCACTATTTCTGCAATAGTTTTGTACTTCTTTTTTTGGGGGTAAACATTAGGTTTATCTCATTGACTTTCATGTGTGGTCAGGAATAAGAACAACTTATTTTGTGTTAGAGGTTATTTTATAAACTAAGAAAAAATATCCCCAACTCAGATATGTTTGGAATATTCAAGAGCAAAAAACAATATGATTACAAGTTATCACTGGGGGGGTGGGGGGGGGAATAAAAACCCTGGAATATGGTAACAATCTTTCGATCTCTTCAGTTCCTCATTGAAAGTGGCCACATCTGACCAGATTCTCCATGCATGTCTTTCTGCCTTTGGTCCCATAAAACTTTCCATTAGACAAGAAGGAAAAGAAGAAAAATCAGAACCCTACCACCATGTTTTCAGATTCACCAAGACAGGAGAAGTTGGAGACTAGGATGGAGACAAGGAAGGCCTGAACTGGGACCCTATTCGTGTGCAGTCCTTTTTCTTATTGTTATTAATCTCAAAGACTGAAACCTTTGAAGCGATCTCCATTTTCTCCCCACAGGGCCCTTGCCTAACCTCTCCTGTTAGGAAGGCTCTCCCAGGGGCCTGATCAGTTTCAGTAAAAATATTTGAAGCATGTGGCATTGTAATCAAGTGAGCCCGTTGTATCTAAACCAATTTATAAAACAACAAATCTGTTGTTTGGGGATCCTTTTTAAAAAGCAGAAGGGCTAGGTAGACCTGATCTTAATTAATCATTCTTATTTTTAAAGTGCTCATTCAGGGCAAGTATACGGACCATGGGGATGCATAAATCACTGGATGTGAATGTGTCTACAACCTCTAGAGAAATTTATATGAACATTTTCTAATGTGATTTCAAGTTGGTTATTTCAGTTTCTGAATAAAAGGGCCAAACCTCTGTCAGTTATGCCCTCCCATCAAAGTAGCCAATTTCCCTCCAGCACCAGCTGCCCAGCAGAGCGTCCTGGGGCTGAAGCACAGAGGGGCTCACAGGACAACTTCCACCAGCCCCTTCAGGGTACCTTGAAATGGAGACACATGCAGCGACAAAGGAGGGTGTCCTAAGACTTCTGCCATTAGAATGTAGCATAAACACTATATTTATTTTCTGCCTCTAAAATCTTCCTCTGCTTCCCCGTCACCTATCTATCTATCTATCTATCTATCTATCTATCTATCTATCTATCTATCTATCTATATCTATCCACCATCCATCCGTCTCATCTGTCATTCATCTCTGCATACATATACATAAGTATGTGTTTTTTCCTCTCTTCTCTTCTCTCACCTCTTTGCTTAAATAACATGAACACAGTCCACTGACTCTTCCAGAGACTCTACTTAGACTGGTTGATCCCACCCCAGGTTACACAGGCTGTACACATCCCTCCAACTTTCCTTCCTTTTCAGCTTAAAAAATAAAATCAGTTTTGGAAAGCAACCTAAATAAGTTTTAGAAGCCTCAGGCCAAGTCTGCCAAATAAATGTGGCAAGTATGGTAAAGGTGCCCCAAATAGGTGGGCCCAGGGGAGCTGGGCAGGGATCTGTGGCGTCGGACAGATGTCTATGGAGGCCACACAGACTGGGGGTGGGGAGCCTGCATTCCCCTCCCAAATGTGTCCAGGGCACCTTCCTGAGGAGTGGAGGGGCGTCACCACCAGAATGTTATATTAATGCAGGCAGACAGACCACAGGGTGATCTAAGGAGAGCTGTCACCCCGCATCTCATCAGCATGACGGGCACCAAGGAGCACCTCTTCCTCAGCGCCAGTGGCCTCCTGCCCCCAATTCCAGGTTGAGAGGTGGTCGTAGGAACAGAAGGGTCTGGAAAATCAGCCCACCAAAGATTAGTGCAGCCCTTTGTGAATCTGAAATTTAGTACCTGTCCAACCCCACCAAAAAAATATATGTATACTAGATGAAACTTTGAAAAATGAAAAAGGAAAATTATGAGAGAAAGAAAGTGTCAGACTTTTCTGGTCAGAAATCACTAAACAGGTAAAAAAAGCAAGTCTGGTGAGAAAAATGGGGACCAAGGGAGCCAGAAGGGAAGTGAGCTGCAGCCTAGGATGAGGAAGCCGGCCTCCAGCTGCCCACACACCTCGGAGCTCAGACCAAGGAATGGCCTGAACAGGACATCAGATGGTCCCAAGCGGCTTTATGACTGCCAGATGACAGTGTCTTTCCCAGGCTCGGGGGTGGCGTCTCTTTCTCTCTGTGCTTTCCAGGCCACCCCTGTGCAGTCCCTAGTCGGTGGCAATCTGTGGAAAGCACACAGGTAGGTGCAAGAGTATTTACCAGGCTGCAGCAGCATTTTTGAAACTTAGGGTGTCCCATGGAGCCTGAAGATTCTTTCCTCAACGCCTCTGTCCACCTGCAGAAATCACTGTCCGGGCTGGGTTACAAAATCCACTCATGTCTACTGCTTCCTCAGGGCAAGCTGAGCCTTGCAGCTAGCAGAGTGGAACCCCACCGGCATTCTGTACTCAGAAGGATCTTTCTTTTATTTATTTTCAAATTGGTAAGTTATTTCTAAGGAAATCTTGCCCTCTAGCTTTCTAGTCTCCAAATTGGGCTCAACCCAGAGGGAGAGGCTAGATAAGCAGGTTGATAGCACCATCTAGTGGTCTACTGTCATATGGCAGCCCAAACCAAAGGAAACCCCAGAAATAGGAAATAATGGCTTCTCTGTGGCTGAAGATGACATCCATGCACATATTCTTTGTGCTATCAGTACCTTTCCCACTTCATTTCTCCGTAGTAGAGTTACTTTCTCTTGCATCATCTATATGTACGTCCTCTCTCCATACAAGAGAAGGACTCAGTACAGCCCATTGTCACTTATTAAGATGACATGCTCTGGCTCTAATAGATTTTTAAATTAATGCATTTATAAAGTAGCCAATTCTCATCTTCCCCCTAATTACCACTGGAGATATGGGAGGACAGACAGCACAGGAAGGGCTTCTGACATGGGCCAAAATTAGTGCCTCTATCCTGTCGCCTAGTGGTTCAGTGGGAACCTCAGAGGACGATTATGACCTTGGACGGCCAGGCTATATCCGAAGGTGGTGCAAGGGCCACAGGTGAGGCCTGAGAGATGCCTGATCCGCTGCTGTGGACCTATTTGGTGCAATTATTTACAAGGTGGCATTAATTATTTTCTATTGCTGAGTAAAAGATGCGATTCATCCTCCAGTGTGAAAGTGCACTGCAGAGCTGAAAAAGTGCAGCCCCTTTATAACCTAATGGGAATAGGCAGTAAGAATGATTTGAGTCTGTTGTTTTATTTAAAATCTTTTAGGGAAAGGACAGCTGCAGGCGTTAGTGACTGCTCCCTCTTTTGATTTCCCTTGAACTTTGGAATCATAGCTATTCCCATAACTCTGCTGCAAGTTCTAGTTATTTTTAATCTCATTTCTATCTTTTTCACAGTCTAAGCTTTCTTTTTAGTTAAAAAATATTAACACTCCACAACCACATAAATATACCTACAACCACATAAATATACCTAACACTACTGAACTCTCCACTCAAATAGGGTTAAAATGGTAAATCTTATGTTATGTGTTTTCTTAAAGCACAATTTAAAAAGTTTTATATATTTACTAGATAGATATTATGAAAATAAATAGATATATATTATGAAAAAATGTCTTATGTGTGAACAACAGAAAGATCTGATTCTAAGTAAAAAAGTGAACTTCCTTTTCTCCATTTCACCTACCTTCACATGCTCTTTGGGTTGGAAATGCATAGAACAACTAAATTCACCGGCCCTTGATGAATGGGTAAACAGGA